CTATTTTTCAAAATACTAAAATGTAATTAAATTCGCCTAAGTTTTCCTACTCGAAGGCTTTTGGGGTCGCTGATTACTAATTTAATGTTATTTTTAAGAAATTCAAGATAGCGGATTTAATATATAGAACAAAATTTTTTAAAATTTAAGCAATAAACCTTAATTTTGTCACTCGGGAATTTTTGTGGTTGCTGATTACGAATTCAATTTTAGTTTCCCATAAATCAAAATGGCGGATCTAATATGGAACAGAATGTTTACTTTATGCAATTAATCTTAATTTTGTCACTCGGTGGTTTTTAGGGTCGCTGATTACGAATGCGATGTTTGTTTTCAAAATTTCAAATGACTAATATAATATGGGAAAGAGAAATTAAAAAAAATTTTCTATACACGCTCGCTGGTCGTGAATCGACGCAAGTGCTAAAATAATTGTCAGTGAGCGCTCCTATGACATTTACAGCTAACTGACTGGTATTAGAACTCTCGAGTAACAAAATTAAGGTCAATTGCATAAATCTAAAAGAAAATTCTGGCATATTGAAAACACCATTTTAAATTTATGAAAACTTATATCAAATTCGTAATCAGCGTCCCTAAAAACCACCGAGTGACAAAATTAAGGTCCATTGCATAAAGTAAAAATTTGTGTTCCATATTGGATGGGGGGAGGGTAAAAAATTAATAAAAAATTGTCCTCGTGGTTTATGGACGGCTTATACCTCGACTTATATCATGACTATTAATAAATCTCGGTGACAATGTTTTGACAAAGAAGGAAGAATACTTCAATAAAATAATTCTTCTGATGTATAATTAATATATATATATATATAAAGTTTTTTTTATCGTTTGACTGAACTAATCAAAACAAAAACCATTATTTTGTAATTTGACTTGCTTGGTACTTTGAAACGTCTGGCAACACAGCATTTCTTTAGTCGTGTTGCAAATGCTTGGTATGACTTGTTTACTTTTAGTTTTGAGTAGAAAATTGTGTGCAATGTTTCCAGATGTTCAAACAGCTGTCCAATATACTGTATAAAACATGAATTTTTTTTACAAATTAATTTATTGCAACTCTCACAGGTACCTAATGACACTTTTTTAACAGATATTTAACCATTATATATCTGTCTCGTATTAAAAACTGTTTTATTAATTTCCTAATTTTAAGTACTTTGTGGTGAGTAAATATGTTTGAAAATGTACTCAATTCCCACAAAACTCAATGTTAAAAGTTAAAAAAAAAGACGCTTATAACTTTTTTCACAAGTCCCCACAGGTCTAAAAAATTTAACTACATTTTTTAAAAACTTTTATCTAACAGTGGTACAAATTTCAACAAATTGGTAATATTAATTCTATTTGCGAAAAAACCTTTCTATTATCTTGAAAAAATCTGTAATTACCTTAACGTTTTATAAACATTTTACAATATAGCTCAGTGTGTTAAATTTAATTTTTGGTTTTCGTGTTTTATGTTTTTTAATTCTTCAAAAAAAAAATTGTAATCTTTTTCCAATATTTTAGAAAAAGAAAAAAACGGATCATAAGGTCTTACATTTTTATATACACACAATAAAATAAGGTCTTGAGTATCAAAAGACAGAAACAGAAATATCGCGCGCGCTTTAGCGCGCGTAGCTCTGCTAGTTGTTTAATATTCTTTAAACATTGAAGAATAAGGTTTTACAATTGCCAGTGATGTGACGTAGATCGGCCCATTAATGGAACATGAGTGGCACTTTAATGGCAAAAATTTTGTATCTTTGATGGCAAATTACAATTGCCAGTATTGGGCCAAGCGCCGCCTCAATACTGGTAATTGTAATTTGCCATCAAAGATACAAAATTTTTGCCATTAAAGTGCCATTTATGTTCCATTAATGGGCTGATCTACGTCACATCACTGGCAATTGTCTTTTGTTATTAAAGATTGATCAACTTTTTCGTGAATGTACCATTATTATGCTGAGAGCCGGCCCAGTCTTAGAAAATTTGAAAATCTGACCATCGACGCCATCATTGGCCCAGCAATGGGACGTTTTGAACACCAGTAATGGCCCAGTAATTACTGCCAATTGTCGGCAGACATTATTGGGCCAATGATGGGCCGTTTTTGCAGTCTTGGCATTTCGCACTTGAGTTACCACTAATTTATACTCTCTCTCTTTCTCTGCTCATTGGTCACTCAATAGACTGCCCACTGGTTGAAAGAAACCCTTTGAACAATAGGCCAGGTACTCGAGCAGGCCTCTCGTTTCTCTTTCTATATATACATATATATATATAATATTTAATATATCATTTAGTGAAAATTTTTTTCTGTCTCCCTCTTTCTAGTAACTAAACATCAATCGCTCTCTGTTTATAACGCAGAAAAGTTAACGCATACTTATCTCTCTTTCATTTATTGAAAACATTATAAAACTATCTCTCTTCAGGTAACGGTATTGCTTTCTTCCTCTTTTGAAGGAAAATAACATCAGAATGTCTCTCTTTACCTAATTTGCATATCTACTGATTTCATATAAGGATGAGGCATTTTACGTGAAATGTCCTAAGTTGCAACTTCTTGAAAAAAATTGAAACTCAGGGAATTTGTTGTTCTATCAAGTAGAAATGTGACCCAAAAAATATTTTTGATTTTTTCGAAAATTTGGAGGGGGTAGAGGGAGGCCAATTTGACCAATTTTGCTAACACCGGCAATTTTGTGAATTTTTTCTGAACATACTTCTAATGGGAAAATTTTTTTAGAATATGTTATGAAAGGTTAATATAAAATGTTTTTTCGTCCTCTTTCCAAGGGTGAATTTTATTTTTTAATATTTTAAAATTTTACCTTAATTTTTGATAATTAATATTTAATTTTCAATTTCCCAAAAATCGGTCCGTTTTATTTGAAAATAAATTATTGCAAACGAAAGCTGAGGTTTTTTCCTATCGGCATGTAAATTTGCAGAATGCACTTTTTTGGTTTTAAGTTATTAAATTTCAAAGAATAAATTGCGGCGCAGGCGCCTCGCCTCACGATGTGTTCGTTGCTTGCCACGCGGCTCAGTCAAACCGCGACGCAGCGCGCCGTAATTTATTCTTTGAAATTTAATAACTCAAAAACAAAAAAAGGGCATTCTGCAAATTAACATGCCGATAGGAAAAAAGCTTTCGTTTGCAATAATTTATTTTGAAATAAAACGGACCAATTTTTAGGAAATTGAAAATTAAATATTAATTATCAAAAATTAGGGTAAATTTTTAAAATACTAAAAAATAAAATTCACCATTGGAAAGAGGACGAAAAACCTTTCAGAAACATATTCTAAAAAATTTGTCCCATTAGAAGTATGTTCAGAAAAAATTCACAAAATTGCCGGTGTTAACAAAATTGGTCAAATTGACCCCCCTCTACCCCCTTCAAATTTTCGAAAAAATCAAAAATATTTTTTGGGGCACATTTCTACTTGATAGAACAACAAATTCCCTAAGTTTCAATTTTTTCAAGAAGTTGAAGTTTCAACTTAGGAAATTTTACGTAAAATGCTTCATATGTTAAAAGATATTTTGCTGTAAAATGCATAAAATAAATTAAGTGCACTGATTCTAATCGTTAAGTAAAACACTCGTTAAAATAAATTATTTTTAAATTGTATATACCTAATTTTAAGAAATTTTATGTTACGTTAAACTCTTGTAATTTTATTTAGTTCGAACTTTTTTTAATTTCGTTTGAAATGAGAAAAACACATTTAATTATTATATTGCAATATTGAAATTACTATTCGATAGTTAAATTTTTAATCAGGGTAAATTTATAGAATAAAATTATTAATTACACAATCGATCTATATTTACTCGAGAATTAAACTGTTCGTAGAATAGATAGAATATTATATACAGTTGTTTATGGAGAAAAAAAATCAACCAATTAATAATAATAACCGCCGTGAAAAATGAATCGTTCCTTTTTATCTGGACTTCTACATTTTCGTCCTCTAATTCCAGGGCCTTTCTACATCAGTTTATCACCTTCTTCATTGTCGCAGTCAAAGCGAACGGTCCTTTGGATTTTTAAAACACTTCGTTTTCACTCGTCGTTAATGCGTTACAATCCTGGGCACTTCGTCACAATGGCCACGACGGAACAAGTCCAAACACGCCGCGAGGACGCCGAACGCGACAAACCAATTTTTAATATTACAAATTCAAACTACATCTAGCGGTACGAAAGCGAAGCGTTGCCGATTGAAGCTTCAGAACAAGAGTGAAAAGGAGTGCGTGCGCATACGGACATGACGTAGACTTGTAACGGCTAGAGTCAATTGAGCATTTGCCGCGTATAATTCAAATTCCAACATTACACTTTTCTACAAAGTTACAGAAATATTGGTTTGTAAAAACTGAGTTTGGGGAGAATGTAAACAATTTAATAAAAATCCTTAAAAATACCGTGTTCATCGAATCTAATCATGTTTTGCATATTTTTTCAAGATTCTACGTAGAAATATACATATTCCTACCAAATTTGAAAACAATCCAATCAAAATTATTGGTATTTATCTGATCCAATTTGGTATTACAATTATTTAAATTAATAGCAAATTGATTTAATAATTTTGAGAAAACTGTGAAATGTAATTTCGCCAAAAAACGAGATAATAATTTCCTCCGTTGAGTACACTTCGTTTGTGTATGGAACCCTACACTGAAAGAATTTTGGGCGGGCTGCAGGCTTTACATGGGTGCCGCTAGAGCTCGCTTCCTCAAGACTCACAGTTCACCTCAAAAAGGCGAGAATCTACTCCCGAAAGGTAAGTGGCAACTTCTCACCTTTCGGGAGTAAATTCTCGCCTTTTTGAGGTGAGCTGCGAGCCCTGTGACAGGAGCTCTAATTTCAGACATGAAAAGTCAGCAGCCTGCCCAAAATTCTTTCAGTGTAGTAATTAACAGAATAGTATTAAATAAAAATAAAGAATTAATTTTGTTTGTCTTTTTGCAGCACATGGCAACGTATTCGCCGATATCGTGTCGATCGGCGAGAGCATCAGCATTATCATGGAGGCGACGGGAGTCAATGAGTTCGTCAGCAGGAGCGTCGTCTGTTCGTAGGCTGATAGCTGCCGTGAGAACGGCATCCTCGGGACCAAGGCCACCGAAAAAAGCAGTCTTAAGGCATTGTGCTGCACTATTATTGGGTCACGCGACATGTTCGGCTGCAATCCTGCCAATGTTCCCACTTCAAGCTGGTCTTGGAGCCTTTGATCCTTATTTGGGACCAGCATTGCTGGCCCTTTTATTTGCCATGGCAACGCTTGCCACATGTTTTGCTCCCATCATCGTTCAGAAGCTCAGCACGAATTTAACCATTATTGTTGGACACGTCATCATTACAATATTCGTTGGTGCTCACCTCTATCCCAGGTGCCTTTCATATTGTTTTCCTCTTTTTTTACTAATGACACTATTTACTATTTATTTACTAGGGGAGAGGTACGCACGTTGAGACGGGTTCTGTTTTTCAGTTATAATTTTTAACAAACAAAATTTAGCGAAAATTCGATATGCTTTCTTAAAAGTATTGTCCAGGGCTACAACATTGCCAAAGAAAATTATTATTTTTTGAAAAAAATGAAAAATTTATAGCTGATTTTTTTAACATGTTATTTTTTACCAAAGAAAAAGTGGTACGCACTTGTTGGTGTGTTGGTCTCAACAGACACCCACAGTAATTTATTTTAAATTTAAACAAAATGAATAATTAGGTCAGATTATAATTGTTTGTTGTTTATTTACTTGTTTTAATGGTCTTAGCGCGAAGAAAAAAACTAACTTAAAGAAGATAATCAAAAAATAAAATTTTATTTTGCACAAAAATAATTATGTAATAGAAATCTTTATATCTTATTCGCAATTTTTACAGGTGAAGAACATATAAAACGCTTAAAAATTGTGGATTCAAAATCAATTTTAATGACAGTACTATTTTCACTCCGTCAGCGTTTTAACCTGCGTACCACAGTGTATCTCAACGTGCAGACCTCGCCGTTATTTTTTTAAAGCTTTGAAATTATTTGTAGATGTTAACGTATGTCTAAATTTTCGTCGCAACATTAAAGTAGAACCAAAATTCTAATAATATAGATCTATGGGATGATCTTGATAACGTCCTTCTTTATTAATTATTTAGAATGTTGGAAAAAACGATCTCCAAAAGGACATGTCAATTAAAAATTTTTCAATTTGACGTTTCCCCGGTGGGCACACTTGTTCAAAAAACGTCCTAAAGATGTCTTTTTGTAGACGTCTTTTGGACTTGTACAAAAAGACGTCTTAAAGACGTCCTATACATGTTGTAGGGGAGAGTGGGGCAAAGGCGCTATGCGGGGCAAAGACGTTTTTTAAAATATCTCCTTTATTTTCTGTCTTTTCCAATTGGTATTAAAAATTAAGTTGCAATAAAATCAGACCAATTGATTAAAAAAAGAAAACCCTAAAAATATCAAATAGTTTAAGAAATATAACAAAAAAATTGTTTTGCAAAAATAAAATAATAATTTTACTCAACAAACTTTTATTTTTTAAACATAAGTTTAAGTATTTAATTTTTAAAAACATAACATGTAAATAAATTAAATATTTCTCTACACAACTGGCGTGGTGTTTTAGTTTAATTTTGTATCTAAATATTTTTAATTTAAAGTAAAAAAAAGTTTGTTATATGGGGCAAAGGCAATATTGAACATAATTTGCTTGAAAACAATTGAATATTCGAATTTTCTATGTATTAATTCACAATATCAGGTTATCAGGTTAAAATCACTAAAAGTTTTGATTTTTGATTTAAATAGTTTAATTCTTTTAATAATATGTTGTTAACCTTATGTTTCGTAAATATTATACTAATAAATATCACTTGTTGATTTTTTTAAGGCTTACAAATGCTTTCTATTAGAAATATAGTCGAAAATGTCGCTGCCCCAGCGTGTAGGGCAAAGGCATTTTTTGCATTGTTTTTAAATTTCATTAAATAATGTATTTATAATTATAATATACTAAATAACAACTTTGAATATTTCTTGTTGATTAGTTTTAGAATAATGAAAAACAAAGACCGCATAAATTAATTGCTATATTTAAAAAATATACATCGATAAATGTAAACCTAGCGCCTTTGCCCCACTCTCCCCTATTTCTTGGCCATTAGATGTCTTTAAGATGTCTAAAGGACGTATTTTTCATTCAAGATTTGAAAATAGAAAAATTTCCATAAATAGAAAATATTATTTTCTAAGTTTAACTTGGATTTAGAAATTCATGAATGTAAAATTCATTAGAATTTTTCGAAGTTAAATTCATTTCATTGACAAGTGCGATCCTTAACTTTGTAGAGGTTCATATCTGTCTTGAATGGCTGAGGTGCTTAAAGCGCAGTGCTTCAAGCCCAAGGTATCCGGGTTCGATCCCAGCTTCGTAGGAATTTTTCATTATTTCTCCACATTTTAGAAAAAATAATATTAAACTTAAAATAAATTTAATACAATATTACTAAGTTTCAACTTAAAAAATTTAAAAAAAGAAATGTTTATTTAAGATCTGAAGGAATGTAAAAAGGACATCCAAACGACGTCTTTAAGACGTACTTTAGACGTCCTTTTTTTGTCCTTTACAGCGGATCCACATGTAGGCGAAATCGCAAAGTCGTTGCGACTGCCGTACCCCCACCAGCACTGTGAATCGTACCGACGCCAGTGGTTCTCTGTGCTGTGAAAAGTAAATAGAGAAGTAGGAGAAGGGCACCATTATATAATAATATACAATATTATTATGCAATATAATAATAATATTTAATATACTAAATATATATTATATATTTATTTATAATATAATAATTATATAATGTGTAAAAAATTTATTATTAAAGGAATACTTGAATAATAATTTTCCAGTTTTGCCATCAACCAAATTTTTAAGCTAATAATTATTTATGATTTTAATTCTATATTAATCATTATTATTGGTTATTAAATAAATATTTATTTATTAATATTAATTAATCATTAAATATCACTAAAAATTTATTTTTAGGTTATGCCAAAACAAAATTAAATTTATTTTTCCAGATATGAAATTCTACCTTCCATATGACCGGAAAAACTTTTTATAATTCTGGTTTAATTTTTCGTACGAATTCCGGAAGTTTTTCTTAAATGAATTACGCACGTGATTTTTGCTTAAAAAAATTTCTCTTTAAACTCAACCACTTTTTTATTTGAAGGAGTACAATTAATTATATACGGAAAGAAAATAAATATCCCAGGGTTTCCACGCAACCTGAAAACCTGGAAATGTCAGGAAATTTTTATAAACCTTGAAAAAACCTGGAAAAGTCAGGGAATTTTGATTGGAATCCTGTAAAATTATTGTTTTCTAAAGTTATTGTGCTTATTCTTGAAATTTAATTTTTCTTTAATTCAAATTTCTTAATTCAATTTTAAAAGAGTTGCCTTTACAATTTTTCTTCGCAATAATTTAATTATTTTCAAAAATAATAAAACTCATCGCAAAATTTTAATTACTTTTAATACAATTTTAATGGAATTTCTCAAAAAATGTATAATTATTCTTAAAAATTTTATTAAAATTCATCAAAGAAAATTAATTATTTTCAATGATTTTTAATATCTACTATTATAATAAAATTTTTTTTTAAAAGAAATGAATTATTTAAAATTTCTTTATAAATTTCTTCGCAATAATTCTTTTATTTTCATAGATAATAAAACTCATTGCAGAATTTCAATTATTTTTGATACAGTTTTAAACGCATTCCTCGAAAAATGTAATTATTCTTAAAAATTTTATTAAAATTTATCAAAGAAATTTAATTATTTTAATAACCTTTGCTACAATTTATTTATTAGAATTTAAATATTATTTTTAATAAATTTTTAATTACATTTCTTTAAAGAATAAAATTATTACATTCAAAATTTTTTATGAAATTTAATTATGGTCAAAAGTTGAACAAAAGTTATAGTGAAAATTTCAATTATTTTTAAAAATATTAAAATTTTTCTCTAAAATTCAATTATTTTCAAAAATTTTAATAAAATTCTTAGCAATATTTTAATTATTTAAAAAAAATTTAATAACATTCTTGACAAAATTTCAATCATTTTCAAAAACTTTTCTCAATTCAATGAAATTTTTTTACAGAGATTCAATTATTTTTAATACATTTTTATTCTAATTTTCTCAAAAAATGAAATTGTTCTTAAAAATTTTATTGAAATTCAACAATTGAATTAAAATAGTGAAAGTAATTTTAAATACTTAAGTTAGAGTAACAATAATCTTATAATTAGGTATAAAAATGATGATTTTATCATTTTAACATTTTTAATTATTATAAAACATGAAGATATCGAATGCTCCGAGTCGAAGACTAGGAGTGATCGATATTTCAATCTTAATAACATATTTAATTTCAAAAAGGTTAGAATTAAAAATTGTGTAAAATATAAATGTAGTTTTAAAAATCTGGAAAAATTCCGTTTTTTAACCTGGAAAACCTGAAAAAGTCAGGGAATTTGAAATGAGAAAAAGCGTGGCAACCCTGTATTCTTTTTAATGTTATAAACAAATGTTTGATGACAGAAATGTTAATTTTCAGAAATTTATATAAATAAACGGAAATTCAAAACAATTTTAAAGGGGCGCAAATTTCCCAAATCCCCAAATTTCAATTTCCTAATGTTCAAAACATCGAAATTCATATCATCGAAACTTCGTTTTGCATAATTTTCAGTTTTCGAAATTTCATTCAACATTATTTTTAATTTATCGGTTTATTCTTTATCCTATTATTTAAATAGTCGAATTGTTTTTTAATATAATTTTTAATATCTCGAAAATTTTTTTGACATACATTTTGATTTTCCGAATGACTATTTGTCATAATTATTAATCCTCCGAATTGCCATTTGACACAATTTTTAAACCTTCGGAATATTATGTTACATAAATTTCATTTATCGAAATTTTATTTGTCATAATATTCATTTACTCGAATCATCAAGTGACATAAAGGGCATTTACTCGAATTCTCAATAGAAATAAAAAAATATTTGAAAGTTTCATTGTTATTTTAGGACAAATGAAATTTCTGTGACTTGCATTATAGGTTAAAAAGTAATTCGGATGTTTGAAAATTCTGTCAAATGGAATTTCGGACAAATAAATTTTATGTTAAATGGTTATATTCAAAGAAATGAAAATTATGACATAAAATTTCTGAAAATTAAAATTTCTGAAATATGACATTTCGTAGATTTAAAGGTTATGTCTCATGAGAATTCGAGTAAATGCGTTTTATGTCACTTGATAATTCGAGTAAATGAACATTATGACAAACAAAATTT